TCACAAGCCCTCAATCAAAGCGAGCATACCAAACCTCCTAACCCTATATCCAAACCCGTCAAGATCAGTTTTGGGAGTTTTGGGTTCAGGGTGTAGGAACCGTGAGCCCCGAAAACCTAAGCCCAAAGCCCTCGACTTAACCTCGGAATCCCAGGTTTACGGCTTAGGGTTCCTGAGAGTGCATAGGGAGAATGTGAAGCGGTATAAGGAGGGACCCCTAGAAGGGACCCTTAATCTTATTCTCCTAACCTCCTATACATTCCCTAAATACCTAAGCATAACCCCTAACTAACCCCCAAGGTCCTTATAAGGGTCCCTCCTTTGGCCTTTGGTCTAACGTACACTCCTTGGTTCAGCTCTGGGGGGGGCCTCTCTTGAGACATGTTGTCCGGTGGGTTTAGCTTTGGTTGAGGTGTGGTGTTTGAAGTTGTCTGGGGTTTGAGGGTAGGGCTTAGTGGTTGCAGGGAAGAGACGTGGGAAGTTATGAGTTGCTAAGGGGCAACAAGCGTAGGGACTCTTCATGCCTGAAGGTTCATGGTTTAGAGCTTCTGGTCAATTGAACGTAAGCCCTAAACCCTAAACCCTAAACCCTAAAACCCTAAACCCTAAACCCTAAACCGCAAGTTCGTGTGTCTGAGATGTTGTAAATATCCGTAAGCCCTACATCCTAAATCCTAAACATTCCTAAACCCTAATCCCTGGGGCAGCGAATATCACCCACATTAGCCATGAGGCTCAAGATCTAATTCATGGCCAGAGCTGTAATCATGTTGCAGCACTTGGTATCCGGTACCGTACAAAATGGCCGCTGGGAATGCACACGCCCGGGGTCAACTAAGGGCGGTAGGGGCAGACTAGGGTCCGGGATGGACCCTAGCCTCTTCGGGTTTAGGGTTTAGGGTCTATAGGGTTTAGGGTTTAGGGTTTCGGGTTTAGGGTTTCGGGTTTAGGGTTTAGGGTTTAGGGTTTAGGGCAGTTTAGGGTTTAGGGTTTAAGGTTATAAGGACTTTTGGATCTTATGCTTTAGGGTCTTAGGCCCCCCGCACATGGATCTTGCAGACAACTCACGTGGCACGGTCAGGTTCCATCCTCCCTGAACCCTGCGCCTCAAGCAACCCTAAACCCTAAACCCTAAACCCTAAACCCTAAACCCTAGACCCTAAACCCTAAACCCTAAGCTCTAAACCATAGCCTCGCCGACCTGCTCCCACCCCTGAATACTTCGCGGCCGCACCCGGCGAGATTCTGAAAGGGATGGTTTGTGTTTAGGGTTGAGGGTTTAGGGTTTAGGGTGTTAGGGTTTAGGGTTTTAGGGTTTAAGGTTTTGGGTATGGCTGAGGAGTTCCGGGGTTTAAAGGGTTGCCATCGTCTTCGTCATGTTCAGAGACATGTCCTCAGGCTGTTCCCAGCACCTCCCGTTGGCACACCTGCTTTTACCTTTGTGGTACTTTACCGTAACTTTAGATCCTTACTTTTCTTGGTTTATTGGGTTTCTTAGTAAGGCAGCTAAAAGTTTAATTTATAGCTACCCTCCTGAGTGCAGCCAAGTTGATTTTATGTCACACCCCCGCACGCCCTGAGCCTTGTAGCCCTGTATTGGGTAGTTCTCTAATTTGGGGTCCCTTTTGGGGTCCTTCTTCTACGGGTGCCGCATCAAATAGGGGGGGCCCAAAAGGACCTAATTCGGAGAACTACCCATCTAGAGGATCTGGGGACGTAGTAAGTATCTACAAAGTAGAGCTTTCAAGGACCCTCCCAATTGGGGGTTATCCCACTTAAGAACTCCACTGCCTAAGTCCCCCGATCCTCTAAGAAAGGTTATCGGGTTTAGGTTTCAAGGTTTAATATCCGTGTTATAGAAACCTAGAAGCCCATAAAAGCAACCGACCTCCAAACCTGAGCAGCACTGAGGAACGTCGACACTTGTGAATGCTCTGAACAGCTACGACGATGACGACGTCCCTAATCTACTTGCACAAAGATCGGTCTTCTGGCAGAACTTAGATTGGGTTGCATGCGCCTTTCTTTCGTCCACTAGACGCCTAAACCTCCCACCCTTGAACCCGAAACCCCTCTAAGCCCTTTAAGCCTCAATAAAAACCCTGGGGGGGATGCGCAGGACTACGTCGCGAATCCCTAGTGTGAGTTCAGGCTGTGAGGTCTTATGACTCAGGGGCTTATGGGTGATGTAGCGATGTAGCTTGTAAACCCTGGACCCAACACTCTGCTGTTTGTGGGTCGTTGCCACGAAAGGCGCAGGTGAGGCAGACCGAAGAACCTGTAAACTATAGGGTTCTTGAGGGAGAGTTAGGGTTCAGGGTTCAGGGCTTAATGGTTTAGGGTTTAGGATTAGGGGTGAATACTCCCCACTATTACCTAAGGCTCCCTAAGCTTCCCTAAGGTTCCCTAGGTACCTAATTACCCCCCTTGAACCCCCCTCCTTTCAGAACCCTACAAGTGAATTGCAGGCAGCCAGAAGGATTCCCAGACCCCGGCATACCCAAAATAGATATGGGGGCTTACGCAAATAAGGGACCCAATAGACCCCCCAAGTAGTAGGATTCCCTGATAATTAGGACCCCAATAAGGTAAGCCCGAAACCCGAAACCCTAAGACTCTTGCAGAGGTTTCGAGCTTCGGTCTTGGGTTCGCAAGTCTCTTTAAACGCCCAACCTTAGCCCGGCCTGGCTGTCACCATCTCTGCAAGAATGTCGGAAACCTCATATAGGGTTGAGGGCTTAGGGTTTTAAGGTAGAGGGTGGAGCTGACATGGAAGCCCAGTTTACCCCTCCAAGCATCACCCCTCCAAGAAAGCCCAAGCAGCACACCTAAGAGCCCTAAGAGCCCTAAGAAACCTAAGAACCCGAAACCCTAAACCCTAAATCTATGAACCCCCGATCCCATGAACCCCTACACCCCCTAAGCCCTAAGCCCCCAGCTCTCAACCCTAAACCCGCAACCCTTAACCCCAAACCCGCCCTAAATCCCTACACCCTGAATCAGCTCAAGGAGACACTTGCCTTCGTGGGAATTCTGAGAGCCGGGTCCCGAGAAGAGTGAACCTCGGGGTGTAGTTTTTTTAGGGTTTAGCGTGTAGGGTTCAAGGAGACTGCGCCCTACGGGTCCGTGCACCGAATAATAATATACCTCCTGTATATGGACTTTGGGCCCCAATGGTGCAATCATGAGGTACATGGACCCTTAGGGTTGTAGGTTTATAGGCCTACAAGTTCATAGGGTCATAGTAGGTTTCTGGGTTTAGAGGTTTCTAGGTTTGGCACCGCTGTATGTTTGTTTAGGGTGGCGGGCTTAGAGGTTTCTGGGTTTGGCACCGCTGTATGTTTGTTTAGGGTGTGCAGGGTTTAGTGTCAAGAGGGCTCTGGTGTGGGCCTGGGAGTGTTTTTTGTTCACTGTAACCTTACATCCTGAGCCTTTGGTTTTAGCATGCTTCAAAATAAGGCAGCTACAAGTCATGTTGCACCAGATCTTGCGACTCATAGCTGTCATAGCTCCTCCTTTGTTTGACATTGCGCTTGCGGGGCGCAGGGCTTGGGGCTTTAGGGGTTTAAGTTCGTTGGTCTTAGTGCTTATATAGGGTTTAACGGTTTTGTGGCGTTTCTGTTTGTTGGTTGTGGTGGTTGCTAAGTAAAAGGGTGGTCGCTGGGTGTCCCTTCATACGGCCGCTCCTTTTCTTCGAATGTTCTGATTACCGACATGCTTTGGTTAGTCATTGTGTATGACTACTGAAACCTGGGGATTCCGGCTTCCGGTGTGGCTGACAACGCGAGTACTTGGGATGCTACCGCTTATACTAACATCCCTTCGGGATTATGGTACCCCTATTTAAAACCCTATTACGGACTGTTAGTATAAGGGGAACGTCCCAACAATTACAATAAACTAACAAGCCTCTTTGGGAGCGTACTCGTAGAGGCTAGTTATAGGGTTTCGGGTTTCGGGAAACCCGAAACCCTCGACCCTAGACCCTGAACCGTAAACCCTATCGGTATCTGCCTCATAACTTCCCTCCCCCCTCCCCCTCGTGCGCGCATGCGATTGCCCGCCTCCCAGCAGTGCAAGGACACCAAGCAGCCCACTTGAAGGGCAGAGGATTGAGACAGGTTTAGGGTTTCGGGTTAGGGTTTAGGGTTTATAGGGCTTAGGGTTTAGCCGTAGAATTTAAAAGTTCGGGGGTCAGGGTTTGGTGGTGGAATCGTCCGAAAGACGGACGAAGAAAAGGGCTTTTGTTAAAGCAACGGGGCCTTTGGGGCCAAATCTGTTCATACTTCTGAAGCCCACGCACAAGTCAGCCCCAAACCCCTAAACCCTCAATCCCGAAACCCTAAACCCTCAATCCCTAAACCTTAAATCCTCAATCCCTAAACCCTAAATCCTCAATCCCTAAACCCTGAGCCCTGAACCCTAAACCCTCGTTGTTCTGTCAGGCGATACTCGTTCTCTACGGAGTCTTCGTGATCCTGGCCCTTATAGACCTTAGAAGGCCAGCCAAATGCGTTACCCGGAGGTCTTTCGATTGAGGGTGTAAGGTTAGGGTTTAGGATTTCAGGTTTAGGGTTTAGTGTTTGGGGACGGTCTGAGAATCTTCCATCGTGGCTGGTTGGATTGACAACGGATCCCGCAATTCCTCCGGGCTTCAGATATCTGAGGCGCAGCTTTTCTCTTGTGGTTTAGGCTTAAGGCTTTAGGGTTTAGGGCCTTCTGCCTTATGCATCCGGAGCATGAACTCGATACGCCGTTGCCCTGGATGTCTTCGAGCGATGGTCCAGTCAAAGTCCTTGTGGAGACGATGAATAGATGTGCAGGGTTTGGGGCGCAGGGTTTGGGGTGCAGGGTTTTGGTTTCGAGGGTTTTCTTTGATCTGCACTGAAGCACCAATCCTATATATATATATATATTTATTTATTTATTTATATCCAATTTACCCAAGCCGAAAATGCATGGCTTGCAAGTCTCTGGAAGCACTGCAACGCCGCATCGCCATGCTGAAGTCCTTTCAGTCTCGCCTGGTGTGGCCTCCTGTGACGACGTTCCAGGCGTTTGGCCAAACTTACGCGCTTCCATTTCGCGGCACGGTATCTAATTGCGAAAGGCTGCCCCTGCCCCTTCTGCGCTACCTGGCAGGGTTCTTGGACGGAGACGGTTGTGTTTCAGCAGTCGGACAATCATGCTCCCTCAGCGCAAGCCAGTCAGCATCCGGTGCAGAAGTTTTATATCTCTTGGCGACTACTCTTGGAGGCACAGTATACGTTCATGCACGTGGCCATGGACTTGGGCAACCATCCCTTCAATGGATCATCAGGGGGCATGCTGCGCAGAAGGCTGCTTGCCAGCTTGCCCCTGAAAGTGTAGTGAAGCATCAACAGCTTATTTTGGCAGCATCGTGGCCAAGTGAAGACCGCCTAAGGCTCGATGCCAAACAGCGCTTGGCATCACTGAACTCCCTGTCGCAGTATGATACCTCACACGTTTCCTGCTCTTGGGCGTATATCGCGGGTTTCTTTGATGCTGAGGGATGCATCCGAGCTTGCCATGACCGTGTGTCGGTCAGAATGTCCCTGGTCCAAAAAAACAAGGATGTGCTAGGCTGGATTGATAGGTTCTGGCGCGCAGACCTCGGCTTGTCATCATCCTGGGTTGTGCACAAGAAGTCTTCGGTCACCGAAATCACAGTGAACAGGCATTCCAACACGCACTTGCTTATGCGACGTCTGTTGGACAATGGGCTGTTGCTGAAGCAGCAGCAGGCCTTTCTTGGCCTCAGTCTCAGGGATGTGTACTACCCAGATTTTCGGGAGACTATGTCTAGTCTGTCTGGCAACCAGGCTAGATACCAAAGATTAGCTGAAGATGGCTGCATACGAGCAACCGCGATTATAGCAATCCGCAAACGCATCCGACGCTGTGAAGCTCTTGGAAGGCATGAAGAAGTGGCAAGGTTGCAGCAGCAGCTCCGTGAAATGCAGCAGCAACACAGGCACCTGAACGCAGTGACAACATATCGGTCCTTGCAAACTGACATCCGATCTCTCTTGGCCAGAGGAGCCTGCATTCAAAAAAAGCACAGCTGCCGACAGCACCCTTGCCCGTGACATGATGACCCGCCTCTGCCAAGAACTTGCCTGGACGCCCCTATCAGACCCGCGCCCGAAGTCTAGAGTCCCATAACCCTACAAGTTAGGAGCTTGCCATGTGTTAAGCTTCGTTCGTGCCAGGGTGGTTGCGATATTTGTGACTTCGCCAGAGGACCTGCCAGACATGTGCTTGTGTACTAGAGTGGAGTGCCGGCGCTGTTTGCGCTACAAGTGCGGGTCTTGGGTACTTAAGACTCCCTAGCTACGCGCTGAAACCCTGAACCGTCTAACCCTAAAACCCGTAAAGCCCACTCTCGAAGCAGAAGTTTTCAGTGTAAGGGCTTAGGGTTGGTTGATTCCCAAGGTTTTCATCACTGACCAGGTTTCGGGGAGAGTCTCTTCTGTGTGAAAATTGTGTCCTTAGGTTGAGGCTTGTGGGTTCAGGGTTTAGGTTTAGGGGTTTTAATCAAGCTTGGATAAGGAGGCAGACGAAGCGGCAGCCAACAAGGAAGGCCCTTTGCAAGGCCCTGTGGGCTTGTCTGACTCCCTGACTGGGCAGGGAAGAGTGGGGGCTTAGGGTGACTTTGAGTATGAAGGTCGGTGTTGGGGGGGCTATAGGAATCCTGGTGGTACCTTGCTGACATTTTTCCTTGTCGGGTTCTGGGGCTTTTTCTAAAACAAGTACCTAAATAGCACCGTCATCCGACCTACATAGGGGATACATGCTTCACTTGAGGGGTGAGGTTCCCGTAAAAACCACAGCTACGGCGTAACCCTAGCAAAGGCTGAGGCTCCATCCTTCATGGGTTCCCCTACTACTAGTCAAGGCTGTTTAGGGATAGCTAAATCGAATTAAGGTTTTTAAGGGGGGGACCCTAGGGGGGGTAGTATAGAGGGGGGTAGTAGGGAAGCCCATGAGTCCTGTCTCTGTCAGATCAGATCTCTTGAAAGGACCAGGGCACCGAAAGAACGACCCAAGCCAAGCCTCATCAGGCGAAGTGCAACCGAAAACCAAAACAAACCTGAACCTTTAAACTATGCCCTACACTCACCCTAGCTACCCATAAAGAGCCCGGAGCAGACGGCATGTTAGGACTTTATCTTCGGCTTGGGCCAGTGGACGCTACGGAATCCATGCTGTAGCGCAATGTCACAGCCAGCCAGCCAGCCGGAGAGAAACAGAGAGAGAAACAGTGTAAATGAGTGAGCGGGGGAGTGAGTGAGTGCGTGAGTGATGTACAAACAGCAAAATGCCAACAAGTGTTGCCCAAGGAGTTCATTAGCAACAGCATGTACATGGGTTTCCCTAACATCAGGTCCAGGGGACCAAAGCGAGTGAGCCCTCACCGGGCGTTTGGGTGCTGTGGCTGTCAGGCGCATCACCATCCGGTTCCCCCACCTCGTCCAACCCACTCGGTGGGCAGTCGCCGCAGAGCGTCCCTTTGGAGCAAGGCCTTGTAGGCCCTAGGGTTTAGGGTTTAGGGTTTAGGGTATAATCGGATTTAACTCCCTACCTCCCGTCCCCCCATGGTTCCTCCCCTACTTATGCCTACTTATCCTAAAAGTGCGCTCATGGAGTCCTCACACCGTAAGGAAGACATGCCTACAAGAACAGGGACATCCCAAGCTTCTTCGTTTAGCCTACGGGTCCATTTACCTAAATAAGGAGTACTTGGGCCTTGAATTACCTCCTATATCGAGACCTTGAGGCCCAAGTGTACAATAATGAGGTACGTGGATCCTTGGGGTTCAGGTTTGTCAAGGTTTTGGAAGCGTGGGCCAATGAGTTCAAGGCATTGCAAGCCGCTCAGAAAGGGTGCCCATAGACGCCTGAAGCCCGTAAGTCTAACGTGGAAGCATGGGCTCTCAGTATGGTCCCCTTGTTTATAGGGATCCGAAGTATGTGCCCTTATTCTGCATAGTGTATACAAGTGTCATATATCAAGGGACCCAAATTAAGGGCCCATACTTGGAAGGTTAGAATGAAGCACCCAACCCAACAACCCACACAATACCTTTCTGCAGAGGCCCCTTTTGGGATGTTTGATATCTTCCCTTCTTGGGCTGAAGAGGATCATACTCACTAAGTCACTAAGCCCTAAACCCTAAGCCAAGGGTCTAAGGGGCCAACCTCGCTTTGCGTAGAATCTTATGCCGCCCGGCCCCTAAACACATTGAATATCCCTAAGCCCCCAAAGGGAGCCTGATTTCCGGGCTGTTTGGGGTCTTTGGTCGTATAGGATGCGATGAGAAGATAACTCTAACACCCTCTTTGGGCCTTCTTTTTGCGCAGGGGTAGTGAGGGTGGAGGGTACTTGGAGGATCGGGGCGCTTAGTAAGTAGGGTTAGAAGTACCTTCATCGGGCTTATGAGCAACTACCAGTATAGTTACTTTACTGATAACCCCCAGGTACTAAGTCCCCCCATCCTTTTAAGTAGAAAGTAGAAAAAGTAGGCACCTGGCACGTGACCCCGCCCAGGCAAGCTGGTCCGTATGTGGCGTTTGCTGCCTGATGGCCTACAGACTCTATACTGGGTTCAGACACTCGGCCGAAAAACCCTAACACCTCCGAAACCCCAAACACCTTAACACCTCCAAAACCCTGAAGCCCCAACCCAAAATCCTTCCAGAGTTCTGATTTTGGCTGTTGTGCCCCTTAACCCTAAGACCTTAAGACCTCAAACCCTGAAGCCCCAACCCAAAATCCTTCTAGAGTTCTGATTTCGCCTGAGGTGCAGACACTAGGAGGCCCCAAATCCCTGAACCCTGGTCCACTATGGGTGTAGGGTTTAGGGTTTAGGGCATTTCCGGTCCCCTGATTATACCCCCCCCCCCCCCGTTCTTGTATTGCTAGGGTTTAGGGCTTTCTAAAACGAGACCCCGAACGGAATCCTCACAGCCGGAAGAACGGAAGCCTATCTGCCCAGACACGGCGACGTGGCTGCCCTACCTCCTGGCGCGGGAGGGAGAAGACCTCTGGTACGAGGATCAGGTGGGCTCGGGGAGGAAGTCAGGCCCCCTTCCCTTCCCTGCCCCAAGCCCTAAACCCTAAACCCTATACCCTACGAGCCCGAAGTCCCAAGCCCTAAGTCCTGAACCAGTGATTCCGGGGCTGCCCAGAATTTGCTTTGGTACCCTAATCTACATGTATACAAGTCATTAGAATCAATATCTCATAGCAGAGACACGACAAGGGCCCCCCACAATACGGAACAAAGCCTAGACCCAGAATCCTGCCCTGTCTTTGCCAAACCCCAAACCCTAAAAGCGTTACGTCCTCAAACCCTAGAACACCCTACACACGCCCCTAAACCTATACACCCTAAACCCCAAACCCCAAACCCTAAACCCTAAACCCTCAACCCTCAACCCTAAACCCTAAACCCTAAACCCCTGCGCTTGCACCAGGCGGCCTTCATGGGCCTCGCCAAGCTCATCTACGGCGCCCTTGGGCCTGGAAGTCGGTGAGTTCTTGGCTTGCTGCTGTGGGTTTAGGGTTTAGGGTTTAGGGTTTGGGGTTTAGGGTTTAGGGTTTAGGGTTTGGGGTTTAGGGTTCAGGGTTTAGGGTTTGGGGTTGAGGGTTTAGGGCTCAGGGGTTGGTTTGCATCTTTGGGTTCGTTCAAGGGGGGTTCCGATGTATGGGCCCTTGGGATCTCTAGGGTAGAAGGGCTGTATAAGGGGTCCCTTTTAAGCGCAAGTCCTGCTTGGGGGGGGGGGGGGGGCTTTTGCAGGAGGGGTTTAGGGGGTTTCGGTTCAGGGTCTGGAGGAAACACGGGGGGGGGGGGGTCTTCCTGGTCCATGGCCAGGGATTCTGCCCGGGTCTAAAGGCCCGACTGCTAGTTCGCATGGACCCTCGTATTTCAGAAGTTGTGAAAGGGCGGGAGATCTGAGGGGGAGAGGGGTGTTCATACTGCTTCTCTAAACCAAAAGACCTGTAAATCCCCTAAGACCCTAAATCCCTCAACCCCTAACCCTAAACCCCAAACCCCAAACCTTGAATCGCCTGAAGCCCTGAGACCCACAAAACCCCCTTGAGTCTGTCGGCCAAGGGGACAATGCTCCTGAATCCGGTGGCCCGGACTGAGCTACAGAAGCAGCGTCGGGAGGGCTTCAGTAGGCATTTAGAGCTTCGGGTTTGGGCCTTTACAGGGGTAGGTTTGAACATCATTCTTACTGTTGTTGGCCTTAATCCGCTTTCATAATCCTTATAAGACCATATTAAGTTTTTGTTGGGCCCCCAAACATACCGCAGTTTAGGGTTTGGGGTGTAGCTTCGTGCTTGAGTTTGCGGTGTCAGGTTTGGGGCTTCAGGGTGTGGAGTTTAGGGTTTTCGGTTTTGGGCTTTAGGCTTTGGCCTGTAACGTTGAGTGTTTAGGGAAGTCGCAAGTATCTAGGGTTTCTACCTTGGCCCTTAAGGTTGTACCCTTGGGTTTGGGGTCCCTTGTTAAGGATCCCTGAGGGAATATAAGGGCCATATTTGGGGTATATTGAGGGGAACCTTTAAGGGTACAACCTTAGGGGTACGTGGCTTCATCCCTTGAAAGTAGTGCCGCCGACGTGTTTTTGCCATGCTAACCTGCCGATCACGATAGCTTCCATCTCCCCAAAGCCCACAACCCTAAACACTAAACCATATAAACCCCTTGCCAAACCCTACACCCTAAACCCTAAACAGACCACAAAAGTACCCCCAAAACCATCGCTAGACCGCCTTCCGGCCCCTAAACCCCAAAACCCGAAAGCAAACCCTAAACCCTTAACTCTAAACCCTCAACCCTCAACCCTCAACCCTCAACCCTCAACCCTCAACCCTAAACCCTAAACCCTAAACCCTAAACCCTAAACCCTAAACCCTAAACCCTAAACCCTAAACCCTAAACCCTAAACCCTAAACCCTACCTCGAGTTGATGGGCCTCTTTGGCGACTTCGTGGTGCTTCGCTCCCATGGGCTGGGGCGGCGCGTCTTCCTCCGATGTGGAGCGCCCTAAGCTGCATTGGGGTTTAGGGTTTAGGGTTTAGGGCTAGGGCTCAGGTCCTGGGTTGCCAGATTCCTTGGGTGGTTGGGTTTCGGGACTTTTGATCCAGCATGCGGGGTTAAGGGCGGAGGGTTTCAGAAAATATTTCCGAACCCTTCAAAAATAAATGACATTAAGAAGAATACATATACATGCAAATTTATTAAGGCTCCTACATTAGGGTGTTTCAAAGGCTTCCGATGAGTTTTCGAGGTTTCAAGGCTTAGGGGCCTACCAGATATAAAGGGTGTCCGAAATTCGGTGGCACCTTATTGGGGTCCTCGTTGGGATGTTCTCCCTGAAACTCGCAGTCCTCCGGTTATTAAGTACCACGAACCTTTACGTAAACCCTAGATGAAGTACGGTACATATTTCTTTCACCCCAAAAAGGACACCAAGTATATATACACTCACCAATATTAAAAGGGAACCTGATATACACTCACCAAAAACAGTAATCTAAACCCCAAACCCCAAACATCCAACCCCAAACCCTAAACCCTAAGCCCTAAACCCTAAACCCTAAACCCTAAACCCTAAACCCTAAACCCTAAACCCTA